CATCAGTAGCTCGCAATATCTGAAAGTCGATTATCTCTCCCGTGAATGCAGCCGTCTGTGACCACAATTTACAGACATCAGCAAGCTGATATAACTTAAAAACTTTTGTTATCTGACCCTAATATCCTTCACAAGATCGACCGGCTCTACGATTGTAAACATTTTCGAGAACCACAGCTCACCAGAGCGTATCTGGAAAGTTTGAACCAAATCGCTTCACTAGAAGTTGTCAAAATTGAGTTACAAGATTTGCCACAAACCCACAAACAAATAAACAGACCCTGCGAATGAAATAAAAGCTTGTGATAAAAAATTAACATTTTATGTTTATATATATATGAATATAAATAAAAAAATAAATAAATAAATAAATAAATATATATATATATATATATATATATATATATATATATATATATATATATATATATATATATATATATACATATATATATAGTGTTACATTGAAAGTTATCGATGATTTGTGCGACCTTCAGTCTTCATCTGTTCAGGCAAGGATTCAACATGGAATCACTCTTGTATAATGTAGCAATTACAGCTGCCGCCTACAACATTTGTTAAGGGGCCTCATAAAAAACCAACTGCAACCAAACTAATCAGCAGCAGGTGTTCGCTTCATTTAAAATCCCTGTATAAAACGTGTGGACAAACATTCTCCAAAAAAAAGGAAAAAAAATCTTAATCTCTAACATATAGATACAAACTAAACCGATCGGATACAATGAGTTTCAGTGATGTTATTTACATTGCCAATTTACTTATATTACATGTAAAGTATTATTGACAGAAAAACTCAGTAAAAGAGTTCCTTGTTATTAATAAATAATTTAACAATTAAAAAATAAAAAATAAATTGTAAACTAAGCAACAATAATGTTGTTTTCAAAGGGCTGTATAAATGTAGATAAAGCAAAATATACTTTTTCCTAGACATTTTGTTGTTTAATGTACATTGTATTGCATTGTGTAGGCTAATTTTTTCGAAGTATTCAGGGAAGCAGTGGCGTAGCGAGGTCGGGTGTCACCCGGTGCGGCACTTAATGGTGTCACCCCCCCAGAGGCATAGAGACCCTTCCCAGGGACAAACTTTCAAATTTTCGATTTGCACCCCCCCCCCTCAAACTTTCGATTTGCACCCCCCCCTCAAGTTTTCGATTTGCACTCCCCCCTCAAACTTTCGATTTGCACCCCCCCCCCCTCAAGTTTTCGATTTGCACCCCCCCTCAAACTTTCGATTTGCACCCCCCCCCCCTCAAGTTTTCGATTTGCACCCCCCCCTCAAACTTTCGATTTGCACCCCCCCCTCAAGTTTTCGATTTGCACCCCCCCCCCTCAAACTTTCGATTTGCACCCCCCCCTCGAGTTTTTCTCTATATATTTTGCTATTTTTTGCCTTGGTGTCACCCCCCTAAATGGTGTCACCCGGTGCGGTCCGCACCCCCCGCCCCCCCCCTCGCTACGCCCCTGCAGGGAAGACAAACAAAACAAAACATAGCCTGTCCAATTGTTGAATTGTCTCCCTTATACTAACACTGATGAAACAATGAAATTATAAAATATGAGTAGGCCTACATTTCCAGGTTTGGCAACGCTCATAAAAACCGAGTAATATTTCCATTAGATAACCCATTTCTATTTTTTATATCAATTTACGTTTCAAATCAATTTAGTGCCTGTATATTATTTATTTTACTTACCTTCTTGGATAATCATGCTTTTGCAATACATCATCTGAATACAAACCGACAAAAAACACTATTCAGCTGTTAAAATAATATGTCATATTTTCAATTGCTTTAGTAAAATAGACAGTGTTAAAATCGTGGATGGTGTTCGAATTTGTTATGTAGACACTTCTTATAGTAAACATAAGCAACAAAAATACAGCTGTTACAACAGAAATTACAATAACGAGAATCATAAGATAGATTTAAAATATTGTTGAGTAATTTTGTATCATTTGCCATTTATAATTTTTATTTTAATATATACCTTTTACAACAAAAATAATTAGCTTAATTTTACTTTAATTCACTTAATTAAGATGGCTATCTCATTTTTTTTTTTCAAAAAGTGGACATAGCATTGTCGTCTGTCTTGTAGATGTTCTTTAACATGATAATCTGACATCAACTTCTAAAGAACTTTGTTTTGTATAAGGCCTCTGGTCGACAGAGATGGGTATAGAAATTTTATCCAACGTTTTTTTAAACCCTATAACAACGACATGGAACGACGACGTCAACTGGGAAAAAAAATAACGAAAGCGTCTGGAGGGAAAAATATAGTTTCCTTTTTTTTCTTTCATGAGCGTCGCTTTAATTTTTTTTTATAATCATCGAATAACTGCTAATTTTACAGCAAAGATTAACGGTTATTTTTTTTTTTTAATTTATATACTTCTGGGTGCACCCAATTTCAGAAAATATAATACGTGTAATACTGATGCGGTCAACAAAGGGAACTAATCAGTTAACGGAAATTTGATTTGCGATGTGTTTCCAAATAAAAGAAACAGTTATTTCCCTTGATTTATAAAATCACTTTCTTTCTGTCTGAATTCTAATATCGAACTAAAATGACTAGCACACACCAACACGTATTCACGCACGCATGCCGGAGCAGTCACACACACACACATCCGCTTCCGAACACGTCGGCCCAGTATCGTTGTAACCCTGTTAAACGTGTGTAATGGCGCACCATGTTGTGTGTAATGGACTGCTATGTTGTGTGTAATGGACTGCTATGTTGTGTGTAATGGACTACTATGTTGTGTGTAATGGACTACTATGTTGTGTGTAATGGAGTACTGGGATCTGTGTAATGGATTACTATACGGCGGGTATTCTTCAGTTTTGATTCCGTAATTCTAGAACCAGTGTAATACAATAGCTATAGAATCTATATTTTTATAAAGTGACCAATTTCTAATATATCTTCATGGATATAATGTACAGCTACACTGCAAATGTCACATCGCCTTCTGTTAGATCAAAAAAATGTTTTGGTTGAAAATGTAATGGTAAACGACAGCTATCATGAGGGCGACCAAGCCGGTTCATTTTGTCATACTACTTCTGTTTTGTATATGCGGAGTGTTGTGTTTTGTGATATTGAATTCTTCTCCCAGTCTGAAGATGTTTAATCTAATCGGGGCACAATTTCACGCTAGATACGAGGCCCAGGAGGAAATGAGACTATTCAGGGATTTTTTATCGTCCGATAAGGCAGGTTTGGACACACCTGGTGATGTCCCACCTACAGCTTATTATGTTTGGTGTGGGGAAAAAACATTTTCGTTCAGCGATTATCTCAGTGTTTTAAGCATAATCCGTGTGATTCAGCCGTTGAAGTTGGTGTTTTATTATAATACGTTGCCATCGGATCGCGGGTATTTTTATAACACTTGGTTTTCGGAATTAAGACAGAATATACCTTATTTAGATCTTAGGGAGATGAATAGGGTTGTAGTATGTAATACGTTAGATGCTGTGGATTATGTTTTGGAGCAGTTAGTTATCAGTAAAGTTGGGGGTGTTTTCGTTGGAGAAAATGCTATTCTTACTTATACCCCGGATATATTAAAAAATAAGAGTATATTAGCCTATTCAAGATCGGATGAAATCTCTAGTGAAAAAGTTATTTTTTTCGTCAAACAAAACGATCAGACTAATCTTGATGTTGAAGAGTTCAAGACGGCGGTTCACAAATCTTCCTTGGAGTGCCACACACCAGAACAATACGACAGCAACGCTGTGGGGTCTAATCCATTAACAGATCGCAACCATTCCTCGCCGTGTATAGTTTTGTCCAACACAATCTACCCAGAATACATTGCAAACAGCACATCACCTTTTTCTGCTGTGATACGGTCTTTGTACTACGGCAAACCTGATCGAGTTTTTCCTAAACAAACTCAGGTTAGTTTTTTGGTATATTTTTTAATAATCTTTACTGCTGCATAATTGTTCCCTGAGTTTACCCAGCTCTAATGGGTACCTGACTCAAGTTAGCGAATTTAAAGCTGAACGAGCATCGTGCTGACCACAGCATGCCTTCATAAGCCGAGGTCAAGAAACGTATGAACTCTACTTTGCTATGCATCTTTAGGTTAATAATGGGAAATATTCCTTATATTTACTTACTTAATCCACTTTACTCCTTATGGAGCAAATCGCCTCAACCATCACCTTTCATTGTGCTCGGTCTCCGGCTGTTGATTTTGCAGCCTCCCAAGACATCCCTGTTGCCTTCAGTTCTTCAAGAAGACTCCGCCTCCAGCATTGTCTTGGTCGCCCTCTCTTCCGCTTTCCCTAAAGGTTCCACTCAAGCGCCTGACTTGTCACAATAGACTGAGCTTGTCGCTGTTTGTGTCCCATCCAGTGCCTGACTTGTCACAATAGAGTGAGCTTGTCGCTGTTTGTGTCCCATCCAGGCCTGACTTGTCACAATAGACTGAGCTTGTCGCTGTTTGTGTCCCATCCAGCGCCTGACTTGTCACAATAGAGTGAGCTTGTCGCTGTTTGTGTCCCATCCAGGCCTGACTTGTCACAATAGACTGAGCTTGTCGCTGTTTGTGTCCCATCCAGCGCCTGACTTGTCACAATAGAGTGAGCTTGTCGCTGTTTGTGTCCCATCCAGTGCCTGACTTGTCACAATAGAGTGAGCTTGTCGCTGTTTGTGTCCCATCCAGGCCTGACTTGTCACAATAGAGTGAGCTTGTCGCTGTTTGTGTCCCATCCAGGCCTGACTTGTCACAATAGAGTGAGCTTGTCGCTGTTTGTGTCCCATCCAGTGCCTGACTTGTCACAATAGAGTGAGCTTGTCGCTGTTTGTGTCCCATCCAGTGCCTGACTTGTCACAATAGAGTGAGCTTGTCGCTGTTTGTGTCCCATCCAGGCCTGACTTGTCACAATAGAGTGAGCTTGTCGCTGTTTGTGTCCCATCCAGTGGCTGACTTGTCACAATAGAGTGAGCTTGTCGCTGTTTGTGTCCTATCCAGCGCCACATCCTCCTTTCTTCTTATTTCCACTGTCATAGGCTCCTGTCTTGTCTTTCTCAACAATTCTATATCACGACCTTTGTCCTGCCACCTTAATTCAGAATGTGTCTCAGACACTTGTTAATGAAATTCTTTATCTTGTCTGAGCATATCTTTGGGACACTTCAAGAGTCTGTTCTATGCAACGAGACCGCTTTGACATAATGAATATAAAAGCCTTATTTTTTTATTGTTTTTCTTTGTTGCTTTTCCGGTTTTTTTTTATGCTTTATTCTGTACTCATGTTTTAAGGCTAATCAGACTCTAATTGAGACATTTATTGGAATCGTCACAATAAAGCAAAATATTTATAAACAAATCATGAGGGAAAAAGACTTTTTTTTTTACATTAAATGCTTACAAATATAGGTCGAGAATTTTTTTTATGTATAGCACTTAATTTTTCGTATTTTGATGTTTCACGTGTTTATATTGCTATGTGTTTTCATCTATGCTGTTTCAGTATTAATGTGTGTGTTGTTGTTACTTGTGCCAGTAGAATTGTGTGGTATATTTGTTATAGTCATTTCCGAAAAAAAAAGCAGCAGTATTTGCGCATTACCCGTCCATTTTTATCTGAAGAGTTTGAAGAGGGGGGGGGGGGGGTTATAGTGTACACCTGGATTAAAACATTTCAACAGTTAATACCAAAACAATAATAGGGCCCATAAATCTGGCAGCTAAAAGAGATACACACACATGTTTTGTCACCGCAACAATGTGTAACGTGCTTTGAAATAGAAAAAATTGAAAAAAAAAACCCTTTGTAAAATCTTGAATGAAACAACATATTTCACATGTGGGAGAAAAGTCTAGCCCACGTGTAGGCAGGCGCCATACTCACTGACATTTTCTTTTGTGGGATTAGTACATCAATCGCTACAAAAACTCACATACATCATGCTTCGACGGCAATACGATTTATTGTGCGTTAATCACCTTAACACCCCATCCCATACCCCCCTCATTCCCCTCCCCCTACGTCTATGTGCCAATCTACATCAAACTATTTTATGGAGGTTCAGAGCTTTCGTCAAGGTATTGGTAAAATTTACATTCTTCCCTTACAACTCGTTCTCTGCCAAATTTCTTATCTCTCGGTTAGTAACAAAAAGGTCAACTAGGGCATGGGGTGAAGAGGTGGTATAGAGACCCGCTGAGCAAAAATAGTTTTAAAATACATACATCTGTGATCGCATAGATGAGTTGCTATTTTCAACCCATATTAAAAAATATATGGACGACTTCATTTAAAAAAACTGTTGATTTTTCGAAATTTAAGTCCCGCTGAGCCCAAATAATTTAAAAATACATACATCAGCGCTTTAAAAAGTCACAGGAAAAAAAATTAAAAAAAAAAAGTTTTTTGGTAGGAAATAATGCCACATAAAATAGTCACACAGGAAAAAACATTTGGATAAAATAGTCACAGAACTAAAGTCACAAAAAAAGGCACAAAATGTCTTATAACAAGTATTTTGATTTTCATTGTAATTGTTGAGGATCGTAAAATTTTGTCTTCTTTTTCATTTTTTTTTGCTATGGTCTATAACACTAACAAGTAAAATACTATGAGGTAATTTATACAGCAACCTCAACTTATGAAAAAAATGTTAAATACGCTCTAGAAATGTTAATAATAAAAGAAGTTTAGGCACATCATGTTTTGCATTTTTTTTTTCGGCTTCTCCTGATTCGGCTTTGCTATTGCTGCAATGTGTTGAGGCATTATGTCACATTAATTACGTTTCATGCGATCTCACGCTCTGCAACCCCCCCCCCCCTCCATTCCCTTGACGTTTTACCACACCCACCCAATCCCCCCCCCCCCCCCACCACCGATAAGTCGATAATGGCGGAGTTGTGGACATAGGTGAACGTTAATTCCCTCCCCCCCTCCCGCCAAATCAAATTGAGTTTTCCAGAACTATTAATCCTTCAAATATGTGAATTTAAGATTTGTTATACTTTCAACCAGTGTTTCTTCTAGACTTTTTTCTCCGGGCAGGGGGGGGGGGGGGGCTTGAAATTATTTTTTTTTTGTGGGGGGGGGGCGGTAGACTTTCTTTGGGGGGGGGGGACACTGTTAAAAGTATATATTTTCTATATAAATTATACAAATTACATTTCGTTCGGGGGGGGGGGGGGGGGGGCTTTACCACCCGGGTCTACGACAAATTCCCGAAAGACACTTGCCCGAATGCCGTTTGCCCGAAGGCCGATTTCCCGTATGGACACTTGCCCGAATGCGACAAACGCCCGAATGGCCGTTTGCCCGAAAAATGTTAACATTATATATTACTAAATAATCATTCGTAATCAATTTAAATTTATAAATTTTGGTAAACATAACACATCTACGCAAAAAGAAAGTGAAAAAAATAATATTATAAATTACCACGCAGACATTTTAAATTAATTTGTATTTGATATTTAAAAAGTGTAGAAACATACTTTCTCTTCCATATATAAAATTAGACAAAAATACAATTTTCATTCATCTCCGGATTTTAAAATGAGTTTTGCTTTCTTTATTAAGTAATAGCTTCAACACACTGTCTTAACAAGGTGCATTAAATGGAGATCAAACATATCTGACTACATTTAGTTTTTAAATTCGCCACCTAGACCTCGCCTCATTCTTTTGTTAAATGATCACCACACAAGTTTCAGCATAACAAGAAAAACAAACACGCCTGTTCAATGTTGCGAGACGCAGTGCCGGCTACACCGTGTCATACGTGCTGTATATCCAACGCCACACGTCGGCTAAACAAGGTGTTCAAAACATACATCAAAAGAATGTTAGAACACCGCCGCCAACATCACCTTAAATTTACAGGAAAAAATTATTTAATCTCTACATATACGATTTTATGATCCACCATATAAGAAACAATATTGATTTATATAATACGAGCGTGAATCTTATACATAATATTATGTTTGTACAGCCTAAAACAGAACCATATCTTTAATTTAACACATTGTGTATTGGTTGGAAATGTTTAATACATCTCTGTAGACGAAGTTTAAGTAAAGAGGAGGAAGTAGATTGTTTCTTATAGAGGGAATGTTTGGGGCGGGTAGGAAGGAAGGTGAACGGAAAAAAGTCACAGGAATAAAAAACACAGAAAAATAGTCACAGTTTTTGCTAGGAAAAAAAGTCACGGAAAAAAGTCACAATGGAAAAATTTTATGGGAAAAAATGTCACAGAAATAAAGTCACAGAAAAAAAGGTCACACAAATCTTTTTAGAAATATTTTGATTTATTAGTTAAGAATTGTAAAATTGTGTATGTTTATTGTTGTGGGTTGTATTTTTTATAGCTTAAATTATTTATAGACGTTAAAAGCATTATGATTTATAAAAATTGTAAGTAAAAATACTCTAAGATAATTTAAACATCAATCTTAACTTTTGTTACGTATTTAGTTACATAAGCGGTAGAAAAGTTAACTATAAAAGAAATTTAGGCACATCATTGTGTTTTTCATAGGTTTTGCCGTAGGCTATTCTATGGTCGGCCTCTCCTCAGTCGGCATTGTCCGAACATATTTTGTGTTGTTGACGTTTTTTGTCAATGACAGCCTTTAAACCTTGTCGGCTCTCTGTTTTGATCCTAAGTTTTGTTATGTAATGAGCGTGATAAATGTGGGCAGTAAAGGTGGTTGAACTAAGCATAACTATTGTTGCGATGAGTTGAGGGCAGTAATTCAGATGACCTTACCATTTCACGGTAAATTAAATACTATAAACATTATGTTTAACATAATTACAATCTACATAATTCATACTAAATATTTTTAGATGAATTATAAAAATTACTATACGTATACAACCTACACACATTACATTACATTTAATTAATCCTAAGT